CCCGAAAAGACGGAACAGGTTTTGTTTTGCAAGCTGACCGAAGGGCAACGCAAGGCGTACGAAACATTTCTTGGTTCAGATGAGGTATCAGCCATTTTGAACAGACGACGCCAGTCACTGTACGGAATTGACATTTTGCGAAAAATTTGCAACCACCCAGACCTATTGGACAAGAGCCTGGGAAGCAAGACCGGCTACAATTTTGGAAGCCCAAAGCTCTCAGCTAAATTGGAGCTCACCAAGGACCTGCTACAAAAGGTCATGATACCAAACGGCCACAAAACACTGCTCTTCTCACAAGGTAAATTAATGCTCAACATTATTGAGAAATGCATGCGCGAATGCAATATAAGCTACTTGCGTTTGGATGGAGAAACACCAGTCGATCAACGACAACCAATGATTGACAGATTCAATACCGACTTATCCATTCATGTCTTTCTCATGACAACCAGAACCGGAGGTTTGGGAACAAATCTTACAGGTGCTGACCGCATCATCATCTTTGATCCCGATTGGAACCCGTCTACAGATCTACAAGCTCGGGAACGGGCTTGGAGATTGGGGCAGAACAAACCAGTCAAAATTTATCGACTCATGACCGAAGGTACGATTGAGGAGAAAATCTACCACAGGCAAATATTCAAGCAATTCATGACAAACAAAGTGCTTAAAGATCCCAAGCAGCGAAGCTCATATGATTTGTCCGATTTGTATGATTTGTTTTCGTACAATGCTGGCGACCAGGCTGCGGCTCAACGAAGCGACGTGTTCAAAGGAGCTGAGGTTGATATATCAGCCAACACTGACGGGGAAGCTGTTGCAAGGCAACGCTTGGCACCAATCACCAGCGTTGGGCACAAGGAAGGAGATGTTGAGCAAGAGGAGCTTTCAAAAATGAGAATTGTTGCTGCCATGGAGGACTTCCAAGAAGACGATTCCGCCCATGACGAAAGACGGATGCTGGAAGGCATTTTTTCGCGGTCCGTGAATAGCGCATATGATCATGAACAAATTGTCAATGGCCCACAGAAAGCGAAAGCAGATATCCGTGTGCTGCGTCAAGAAGCCAACCAGGTGGCGCGTGAAGCTGCCGCTCACTTGCGGCATGCTGCTCAGGAGGCTCGTCGTGTACCAATCGGAACAGTTACATGGACCGGCGAAGTTGGATCTGGGGGAAGACCTGGTGGGAATAGACGGCGCGGAGGCCCAAGTTCGGCCGGTATTATGAGCAACTTGGCGAACCGGCAGGGCTTGGATGGCGGCAGTGGCAGTAGTTCCCGATCGGGAACACCCGGACTGGACAGGAACTTGAAGGCTAAAGACTTCGTCACCATGATCAAAGCTTTCATAAACAGACAGGGTGGACGAGTGCCAAGCAAAATGCTGGTGGATCATTTCAATCCTTATTGTCCAGGGAAGAAACAGAGTGACGAGTTCAAGACCGCCCTCGATAGAGTGGCCATTTTGAACAAAACTGGCGGTACAGGAAGAGGAATGTGGTCTTTGAGGCCAGGAGTTGAATAGTGAACTGAACTCGAAGTAAAGTTGGGGTTTCGCATGTACTATTTGTCAAGAACATGGGAGTTGGAATTTCAAAGACTTGACGGTACAGTTAGCTTATGAGAATATCATTTTACAATACAATACATTTTGGTTGAGCATAGCCACCACACACATCACAACACGTTGAAGACAAGATCTCGAATTGGGAGTACTGTTTCATGGGCCTGCTTCGGGGGGCGAATTCATATCCGTCTACCTAGCAGCTCGCCAAAACACCCGCTAATCGGATGTGACAGAGCACAGTAGAATGGGGACCAGGCGCTATGGCCGTTCCCCTCGTTTTTCTCAACGCCAAAGAGAAACCAGATAGCGAAACTCCAGTCCAAACCAAGCCATTCCCACCTTCGAGATGACGCTCAGAGACGGCGACCACGGCGACCGCCCTTTCTGCGAGTAGAGTCGGAGGGAGTAGGAGTAACGTCCTCAATACGGCCAATCTTCATGCCAGCACGGGCAAGGGCACGGAGAGCAGACTGGGCACCAGGTCCGGGGGTCTTGGTACCGTTACCTTTACATGTACCACATTAGCAATTGTTCTCTCGCCCTCAGTAGCAATGGCGGGGTAATATCAACATACCACCAGTGGCACGGATCTTGATGTGAAGGGCGTTGATGCCCAGCTCCTTGCATCGAGCAGCGACGTCCTGGGCAGCCAACATGGCGGCGTAGGGGGAAGACTCGTCACGGTCGGCCTTGACCTTCATTCCACCAGTGACACGGGTGATGGTCTCGCGACCACTGCGCATCCTGTTAGCACCGGACCTTTTTGTTTCCAATCGCGATGACGAGCTCTACGTTGGCGCTCGAACTCTGCTGTTTCGGGGGAGACCAACCTGAGATCGGTGACGTGGACGAAGGTATCGTTGAAAGAGGCGAAGATTCGAGCAACGCCAAAGACGAGCTCGCCTGTATAAACGGGTCAATGACCAATTCCTAGACTTCCAAACAAACAACGCAATTATGCCATTTGCCGGCATGGATTGCAAATAATAAACACGTACCGTCGCGGACGGAGGGGCCTAGGGAGATGTTCTCCTTAGGAGCAGCGGTTCTCTTCGGAGGAGCCATTTTGGGATCGTCTGGTTTCTCGACACTGGCAGTTGGAAATGCAGAACAAATCTTCCCATCATGACTGGCGCTGTAGTGGTGTGGGTGCGGGAGAGGGCGGGCTCCTAGTGGGCGGTGGGCAGCGGCAGAAACACGAGAATTTTGTGTGTGTGGCACAAAAAACCTAACCCTATCTTCGAATTTTGGCGGAAAATCTCCACCTAAATTTTCATGCTCCACTTCGGAAAGAGAAAAAGGACCAACCTACTCGCCATTCCTGCGCTCTTCCTTTCCCATCCACGCCAATACTAACCGACTTCACCAAACAGTCAGTCGCAAAAATGGGTGCCACGTATGTTGATTCTCCCTGAACGCCCTTTCGATATGGGCATCGAGCCCGGTTCCGAGTGCTCTTGCAGATTGTTCGTGGTCCTCTTGCTGGGCAGTCCATGATGGCTTTCGATTTTGACTGAGCCCTACATCGTGGGAAACTGCCAGCTCGATCTCTCTCCGGTGTCTCCCTTGGTCATTCAGGCTGGAATATTGCTTGCGGGCTGAGAGATGATGCAGGAGGTGTTGGAGATGAAGAATGTGCGCGTCAATTCTTCACTCTTAAATTTATTGTCGCTCAAAGGCACAAGTTGCGGATTTTTCTGTACATTGGCCCGCGACTATTATTCCTGAACATCTTGTTTGGGGTTGTTGTCGGATGAGTGCGAAGGCAATGGGGAGCTTGGGTTAGCGAGAAATTGTTGACCCGAGATCCTATCCTATCTCACCGATTAAATTCAAATTCGAGTCAGCCAAAGCAGAGAATGTCGCGCTACAGCTACAGTTCTCTCACCGGCGCTCTTGTTCATACCTTGAGTATGCCGGACCTCGTACTAATCTGATTTTGTGTAGTACCGTCCCTACCCAGGAGCAGATCCTCGTCCCTGAGACGCTTCTCAAGAAGCGTAAGTCTCAGGAGAAGGCCCGCGCCGAGCGCACTGCCGCTCTCCAGAAGAAGAAGGCTGTATGTATTCTCTCTCCGCATTTTCCTGGCATTATGATGCACAACATACCTATCAACTAGACATTTGTCAATGCTGTTGATCTTTATACCTTCTTTCGGGTCTGATTATTCGCCTGACCAAAAGTTGCTTTTTTATACATTCAAAGTCGCGAACTAAAAGCTAACTTGCCCAATCAGGCCAACAAGGAGAAGCGTGGCGTCATCTTCAAGCGCGCTGAGAAGTACGTCAAGGAGTACCGCGATGCTGAGCGTGAGAAGATCCGCCTGCACCGCGTTGCCAAGGAGAACGACTCTGCCTACATCCCTGCTGAGGCCAAGTTGATCTTCGTCGTCCGTATCAAGGGTATCAACAAGATGCCTCCCAAGCCCCGCAAGACCCTCCAGCTTCTCCGTCTGCTTCAGATCAACAACGGTGTCTTCATCAAGGCCACCAAGGCTACCACCGAGATGTTGAAGATTGTGGAGCCCTGGGTTGCTTACGGTTACCCCAACCTGAAGACCATCAAGGAACTCGTCTACAAGCGTGGTTACGGCAAGGTCGACAAGCAGCGCATTGCTTTGACCGATAACGCCATCATTGAGGAGTCTCTCGGCAAGTACGGCATTGTGTGCATGGAGGATCTCATCCACGAGATCTACTCCGTCGGCCCCAACTTCAAGCAGGCCTCCAACTTCTTGTGGCCCTTCAAGCTGTCCAACCCCACCGGTGGCTTCCGCCCCCGCAAGTTCAAGCACTTCATTGAAGGTGGCGACCTTGGCAACCGTGAGGAGGCTATCAACGCCCTCGTCCGCCAGATGAACTAGATATAGTAACGAAAAGTGGCGTAGCTTTTACGACTGGATTTGGTGTGGTATGGACAATGGGAAAATTTATTTAACGGCATGGTCGCTCGGCGTTTCGTACATTACAAGGTTTAAGGGTAATTGATTCCTTGATGAATGACACTAGAGTTCTGCATGCCACATTGTGATCTGCCTTTGGTGTTTAAGTGATTGACTTTGGATGTACCTGTGACGAGCCATGCGAATGCTTTATGCCTACATCCTGCTGCGGTGTCTGTCTGGCACTGAAGGTACGGCTGCAATATGAATATGGTCCCTGTCAGAGTAGGCGTATGTTCTAATATATCTAGTTCTACAAGGTAATTATCATATGCGGGGAGCAGGAATAGTCGCCGTTCCTGTCACCCTTATAAGTTGCAGCTGAAGGCACTGTACTGTACCCCAACTCAGGTTACGTTTCGTAACTCTATCCTTTTGTTATGGGACTATTGTCCCATACCACTCCTATATCCCATGAGACGCCAGTCGATCTGAGTAAACACTAACTCTTAGTTTTACTGCCCGTGCGTGAAGCCTCATTGTGCGCATGCTACATCTTGATATCGAAGCTTGTACCACAACCACAGCTACTTGTAGCATACGGATTGTCAACAATCTTAAATTGTGACCCAATCAATTCCATGGTAAAGTCCACCTTGCTCCCCTTTAGCAGATCCAGAGACGGTTCGTCCAATATAATTCTAGGGCCATGCTCAGATGAACTTGTCGTGTCCGCTTCGTCCGAGAATTGGAAGATGGTGTCGTCTTCGTTTACAACTGTCGGCCATTCTGCCGTGTCTTTCGGTGGTATGGTGACTAGGCTCATTAGATACTGAAAGCCGTGACAGCCCCCGCTTTCTACCTGGATGCGAAGTGCGAGATTGGGATTGTCGTCCTTTTTCATGATTTGTGACAATCGCTGCAACGTAGAAAACATTAGCATGGGCGCCCTTCGGACATTGAATACCAATTGCCAAACCTTTGCCGCTCTTGGGGTAATTTCCAACATCATTTCATTTCCATCTTCGTCTTTTTGAGGGTTAAGCACACACACTGTGGCCTGTCGAGCCGCTGTCGCCGTGAAAGTTCGCTTCTGCGACTGCCGTAGACCACCGCTGAACGGGGTGCCTCGCAAGGACGCACGCCCTGCACGGGTAGTTTTCGTCGACCGTAAGAGAAAGGCAGCGTGGCAATGGGTTGTCGAGACAGTTCGGGGAAGTAGAAACTCCAGAGGAGCGGATGATCTCGCAGCAGCGGTTGAGTAGCCACGCTTCGCGATTTGGATGAACGACCTTGCGGCCGATGCGCCATTTGCACAGCCAACGCTGACCATGGCGATGACTGTAGGGCGCTCTGTGTATGTATGAGCTGTGAAGTCGACGAGATGTTGGTGTTGCTGAGAAATCAAGCAACAGCAATAGTCGATATTTAGTAACAAGACAATTGACTGGTGCTAGTTGGCCCAGGGCGTCCAGAGCCTCCCGCCATCAGCCGAACTGTTCCGCTAATCAGGCCAAACTCTTCCAGACATGTGTGGCCCGAGGGGGCAAAAACGGCTAATAGCTCGCCGTCTAGTGGTCGGCCAGCGGGCCACTCAGCGCAACATGTGCAAGCCATGGCGGCCACAGTGGGCAGCACCAGACAACAGCCATGGCCACTGGGCCAGGAAAAACTAAACGGCCGGTCGCTGACATAAGCACACACAAAATTTCCCGGACACAGAAATGGGAGCGACAGTGTGACACAAGGACGAGGGGCGGATTTGGACTGTGCAGCTGCACACTGTGAACTGTAACCACTTCGCATTTGTCTTTGACGCTGAGTCTTCGCTAAGCCCCAAGTTGCGCGCCCCACCTCCCACCAAAAATCATCAATTTTCGACCCTCACGAGCCAGGCTCGATTCCCAACCCCGCGCATCGCACCTCGCGACGAATCCGTATATCAACCCTCGACCGTCCCGAGGCGAAAACATCCACCGAGGAATAGCGCCAAGAAAAACATTTGCCCGCCATGTCTCGATTTTTCCGTGGTGGAGAGGACAGCTCCAGTGACAGCTCCTCTGATGAGGAAGAGCTCTACTCCGAGGAGGAGCAGGAGCAGGATCTCGGCCAGAATGATTCCGAAGATTCTGACGACATGGACGGCTCTGATATGAGTGACGAGGAGACCTCCAGCGACGACGAAGCCGGTGGTGCCAACCGTTTCTTGAGGGATGCTGCTTCAGACAGCGACAGTGAAGAGGAGGAAGTCCGAGCCAAAGTGAAGAGTGCCAAGGACAAACAGCGCGATGAACTTGACGCCTCCATCAAGCAGATTGATAACGGCCAGAAGAACGGTGACTGGACATTGATCTCTGCTGGTACGTAGAAGTGTTGTCTTCAAAACAGTGCCCCTCTCTCCCTTTTTCTGTTTCTTTTCCTCCCTTTCCCCCTTCTTTATATTGTTTCAGCACAAGAAAATTGGGAGCCGCCGTTTGAATTCTGCAAGTGGTGTCAACACCATGGGAAAACTGAAAGAACGGGGAAGGAAGGAAGAAGAAAAATATTGAACGAATTATTGTGTCATTAACATATTGGTCTCGTAAACAGAATTCGACAAACTCAACAGACAGGTTGCCCGCATGCAAGATGGCGGCAAGACACCGAAGCCTTATATCCGAATCGTCGCCGAGTTGGAGGATTTTATGAACGAGGCTTTGGCCAAGGCAAAAGTTACACCCAAGAAGATGAACGCCATCCAGGCCCGTAACCTGAATGCCGTCAAGCAAAAGATCAAGAAGGCCAGCAAGGAGCACCAGACTGAGGTGAATGCTTACAGAGAAGACAAGGATGGCTTCATGGAGTCTGAAGATGAGGAACCTGAGCCAGTCAAGCCAAAGAAAGTTGCCAGATTTCAGGAGGAGACCGCGCAGCCCGAAGAGCTTGGCGACGAGGGCTTTGCTACCGTTGGCAAGGGTGGTCGTACTCTCCAGTATACCCCAGAGAGTATCTTCAAACACCTGCGTGGCATCATGGAAACTCGTGGAAAGAAGAATACCGATCGTGTTGAGCAGATCAAGGTGATGGAGAAGCTCGGCGAGATTGCCAACACTCCCTACCAGCAGATCCGTGTTCTGCTGGCTATCGTTTCTGCCAGATTCGATCTAAGTGCTGGCACATCCAATGTGATGCCTTTGGAACACTGGAAAGCTGCAGAAAAGGAGCTCTCCACTCTTCTGACTGTTCTTGAGAACAACAAGGACTACGTCGTTGTTGAGAATGTTGAGGAGTGGGATGACGACGAGAAGCCCCCTGCTCTTCAGCCTGGCGAGAAATACATCAAGGTTGCCGGTAGCGTCGTCTCGTATGTTGAGAGACTGGATGATGAGCTCGTCCGATCCCTCCAAAGCATTGATCCTCATACTTCTGAGTACATTGAACGTCTCCAAGATGAGGGTGCCCTGTACAACATCATCGTCCGCGGACAACTGTACTATGAGTACTTGCGCAAGGATCCTGCCCTCGAGATCCCTCAAGACAGCGTGAATAGAATCGTCATGCGACGACTGGAGCATGTCTACTTCAAGGTCAGTCATAGTTTCTTGAGGATCCAGCCTCTTTTTCTCCTTCTCTTGTTATGAAAACTAACGCAATAAACACATCTGCAGCCTGCCCAAGTCATCAAGACATTCGAGGAGAACTGCTGGAAGGCTGCTGGTGACAAGGCCGACTCTGTCATCACCCCCCGCAGCCAGTCCAGTGACGCCAACAATTTGGTCATCGTTCTTTGCAACTACCTGTTCAGCAACAGTGACGGCATCATCCGTGCGCGAGCCATGTTATGCCAGGTCTACTTCCTCGCACTGCATGGCGAGTACTACAATGCCCGCGACATGATGCTCATGTCCCACTTGCAGGACACCATTCCCAACTTCGACGTCCTAACCCAGATCCTTTACAACCGAACTCTGGTCCAGGTTGGTCTGTGCGCCTTCCGCAAAGGACTCGTTTATGACGCCCAGAACACCCTTCAGGAGATTTGTGGCAGCGGTCGCCAGAAGGAGCTGCTCGCTCAAGGTGTAATGATGCAGAGATACAGCCAGGTGTCGCCTGAACAGGAGCGCCTAGAGAAGCAGCGCCAGCTACCGTTCCACATGCACATCAACCTCGAACTCCTCGAGTGTGTGTACTTGACCTGCAGCATGCTTCTGGAGATCCCCCTGCTAGCCCAGACGGGGTCTTCACCCGACGTCAAGAAGCGTGTCATCAGCAAGACCTACAGACGCATGCTCGAGTACCACGAGAGACAAATTTTCACCGGCCCTCCCGAGAACACGAGAGACCACGTCATGCAGGCCTCCAAGGCTCTTGCTGCTGGCGAGTGGAAGAAGTCAACGACTTTCATCCACAGCATCAAGATTTGGGAGCTGATGCCCAATGCCGAGGATATCAAGACTATGCTTTCCAAGCAGATCCAGGAAGAAGGCCTCCGCACCTACCTGTTCACATACGCCCCCTTCTACGACACTCTCGCTCTCGACACTGTAAGCGCCATGTTTGAGCTGGACGTTGCCAAGGTCGCCGCCATTGTCAGCAAAATGATCAGCCACGAGGAGTTGGCCGCTTCTCTCGACCAGGTCACCAACAACGTCATCTTCCGCAAGGGCGTCGAGCTTAGCCGCCTGCAGTCCTTGGCTCTCACACTGTCAGACAAGGCCAGCGCGCTCATCGAGACCAACGAGCGAACTCTGGAACAGCGGACCCAAGGCACATCCAACGCCTTCGAGCGGCAAGGGGGCCGAGGCCGTGGTGGCCAACGGGGCGGCCAACGCTCCGGACGCGGTGGTGCCCGCACCGGTGGCAACACTCAGAGGCAAGCTGGCGGTACTCAGTTCACTGGTGGTGCTTTGGGAGCTGCTGTTCGGGGTTGAGCAAGAAACCACTGACGTTTCAGTGTTGGGGAGATGCGCATTTAAACAAACTTGGTATTCGGGGCGTAGGCGCACATATTTCGCGCTGCTTACGGCACACGGGAAGATATTAAAGACTATTTGTGGCCATTTTTTTCTTTTGTTTGTCCTAACTGCCATGCACGGAATGGGGCGGGACTTGATGGATGCGACGGATGAGACGGATGAGACGGATGAAACGAAACGTGCGGTCAAAATGTACGATTTGCATCAAAAAAATTCATCGGAGAGTATGTAGTGAAGTCTCGTCTTCTTCTCTCCTTTTTATCTCATAGGTTGCCACGGAGGGGACCCAAAGAGGAGAGGGGAAGGATTATGTTAGAAATGAGTCCAGCGACTTCAATACATGAATATGTTTACAAGTTTCACAGACCGTTCGGTTCCATTCTCTTGCGGGTGAAGCCAGTATCGCAAAGCGGAGAAAATAGCCAAAGCCCATGGCCGTCGGGCACAGGGGTTGCTAAACGCTGTAGTTGGTACAGGTTTGCCCAAGTTGTATTGATGTGAAGAAAAGGAGAAAATAGCAGGAACTTTCTTCTTATGGCGAAGACGATTATGTCGTTGGCCTTGAATATTTGGGAAACAAGATGCTGTTGATAGGCCATTATTTACTCGGAAGAGCTCCTCGGGGAACGTTTGGAAAATTCTAATTATTTCTTTTGTTTGATTGCGTTTTGTGACGATGCTGCTAGTTTGAAGCAGATGGCGAGGCGGCCAAGACCACGGCACAGTTCGACTTTAAAAACGCAAACATGTTACTAATCCCCCTTGCTTATGCTCGTTTCTAGTGTCGATCGATATGAAGATGGAGTCCGGCGCGTGCCACCGTTAGTTCAGACGGACTGCGGAGCACTCGATAGGTACAGTAGGAAGATTTTGCAAGGAGGGGTCACTGGAGGCTCGTCTCCATCCCCTCATGGAGACGACTGGCGTGTTTTAGGGTTAGGGTTAGGGTTACGGGACAGTCGGTTCTCCCAACTCTGCTTTGAGAGGCCAGAGTGGACGGGTTAGTACTCGGCGGGGATGGAAGACGGACATGGTCGCACCGACCCCAGCACTCCAGCTTCATTCATGTGCCCCAACAGCTCCAGGACGTGGTGCTCATCTCGTGCCGCCCTCGAAAGGGACCCCGAGGCAACCTGGGGCCTGGCCACGCCTCGCCGTCACATTTAGCCGGCCGATGGCGTCTGCAGCGTAGCAGCCGCATGCAATCGAGTGCCGAGGCACCGCCGCCAGCTCATGCCGTGATGGATCAATGGTCGAGTATTTCTGAACAAGGCACTGACAAGGAGAAGCCGGCCTCCACAAGCTGCTGTTGCCCAGACGCAAGCTGCATGGGAAATCAGCTCGACCCCGGACACCGCCGCATCGCGTCACACAAGCGATACAAGCGCTCAATAATTCCCAACGGGTGGCTGTCGCGGACGTGCCCCTTTTATTTGTGCCATTCTGCAGCGGCCAGCTCCCGTGCGGACGTCTTGCAGCAGTATTTGAACTCGGCTCTTCCGAGGCTCAATCCGACAAGGTGCCTCACCGCGGCTGCCCACCTGCGTCGACATCCGTGACTGCGACCGGCGAGCGAGCCGATATCCCTCACTTCACGCCCCCGCACCTCGAGCACCTCACGCACCTCACGCACCTCGACATACCATGAGCGCCGCCGACAAGCCCTCCTCGGGCGTCGACACGAGCGTCGACGCCGCCGTTCCGCCCTCGCTGCCTCCGCCGTCGAACCAAAAGGCGCCCATCACGGCGGTGCCCGCGGCCGCGCCGTCTCGCGCCGATGCCCTGCTCGCCCACCTCTTCCGGTGCATGCAGACGCGGTCGGGCGCCGAGACGGTCCTCCTCTTCGCCTGCTACGCCTCCCGGCTGACGGGCTCCGTGCTCGAGGCCGCCGGCGGCGCCGCCATCAGACAGTCGGCGCGGCGCCTCGTCGCCCTGGCCTTCAAGCTGCCGCCCGCGACGACCGTCGTCATGTCCTCGACCGCGCCGCGGCCCTCGCTCGCGGCCCTCGCCCTCCAGCTCGGCGGCCGCTTCAAGGCCCTCGCCGCCATGATTAGCGAAACCCGCACCATGGGCCGCCTCTGGGGCCTGCTGGGGCTCTACTTTGCCGCCAAGAGGCTGGTGCTGAAGTCGTGCGCCGCCAGCAGCAGCAGCAACGAGAAAAACAAGCTCGACGCCTCGTCGGCCGAGGACGCGTCCGAGGCCCTCTTCGACACGCTCGTCGCCTACGCCCAGATCGCCTCGCTCATCGTCTACCAGGCGTCCGAGAACGTGGCCTTCCTGTCGAGCAAGAAGGTGCTGCCGTTTGCGCCCGCCACCCAGGGCCGCCTGGGTCTGCTGAGCGTCCGCGCCTGGGGGCTGTACGTCGCCATGGAGGGCGCCCGCTTGCTGGTCGAGCGAGGCCGCAGGACGGTCAGGGACGCCGAGTGGGCGGCCGCCTGGGACAAGAGCTTCTACAGAAACCTAGCCTGGGCGCCGCTGACGGTTCACTGGGGCTCGACGACGGGCGGCTTCCTGCCGGACATGGCGGTTTCGCTGCTGGCCTTTTACCCGGCTTCGGGTGCCATGGTGGACTTGTGGCGGTCGGCGGCGTAGTCGGGGACGGAAGGACGGGGCGGATATGACGAAAAGGAAAAGGGATGGGCGTATCAAAGTTGCTTCGAGACAACGACAGTCTCTACTGTGCTGGGTTTTGCTTTCTATTGTCCCCCTTTTTTTTTGTGCGACGGGGTCTAGATCGTATAGACTCGGGGAACTTGAGATCCGATCTTGCTCATGTTGGCGGCACGGCTGCTTGACTTGGGCACATGGCGTGTGTATAAATAATATTCTGGGTCGTGGGCGACAAGACAACTGCCCCCTTTCAAGTATTTATTTACTAGAGACGAACAAAGAAGAAAGAAAAAAAATTGGCCGAATCTCGTGCTCTTATGCAAAAAGGATATGGTGGCTGGCTGGCTCCGTTGCCAAATGTTGCAACTTCATGTCCGCCACAACTGTACGCATCTTGGATATGATGTCGTACCGGGGGGTCAGATGCCCATCCCGACGTGAAGAATCACATGGGCATCCTCATCATCTCCTCCTTGCTCCAAACGGCCCTCATCTTCTCCGCACCCAGCATCCTGACCTCGTCATCCAGATGCTCCCACAGCACGCCTCCCCACCCTTCCATCTTTTCCTTCAACACGCCCATTTCGAACTCGTCCCTCCCCGCATGACACTCCTTCACGTACCTCTCGAATTCCTCCAGCCCCTTGTGGATCTGCTCGTGCTGCTTCACCAAGCTCCCTCTCCTGGCGTCAAACTCGGGCATGCGGGTCGCGAGAAGCGGGAATACATGCGCTTCTTCAATGCCGTGATGTGCCGAGAGGTGGCGAGCAAAGGAGATGGCCTCGTTGAGGAATTGCTTCTGGGTGAGGTTCTGGGGGCGCCGGGAGGTGGTAGCCGCTGTCCAGAGGAGCGTCCAAGTCTGGCGGAAGTAGTTGTGCTGCGATACGAGATTAGCATGGTTTCATGTGGTTCTGCTAGTGAGGCCAGCGTACAAATTGTTCCATCCGATCCGCCATGCGGTTGTATATCTTGAATTCATGGTCCGTCAACGGCGGCAAGGCCCTTGTCTCGGCTGCCGCAGCGTCACTTGTTGCAGCTTCGTCGCCTGCCATGGTGAAGCTCCAGGTGGTGAGATTCGCTCCCGACGCTCTTGGTGTTGGGGTTGCAGAAAACGGCGGAAACTTCAGATATGCTGCCTTTCTGGTCGTGGCATTTATCCTGCTCCATGTAAAGCGCAGGGTCATCCCTTTATTGTCGCACCTTGTGTATACCTGGGTATATATGTTCGAGATACAACGATGAAATTCTTCAGACTCTCAAGTAGTACGTGCTGTTGGAAACATGATTGGCTCCGTTGTTGCTGACCAAGGGAATTGTAAGCAACATACTAAGTACCTACGTAGATGCATCAGTTGAACTTTCTGGCTGGTTCGACCCGCGCGGGGAGGGCCAAAGAGGTAGCAAGTCACATCTTAATTAGTATTCACCTCTGCACCCAAGCGTGGAATGCAACGGATTCGGGTGGTAGATTCAATGCCAAGTTGACGTGATACACCAATGCGGGGATGCCGCGCGGCAAGAGATTTTAGTGCTCAACTCAAGCTTGTGCCTAATTGCTGACTACGGATATCATCCCATCCCATCTCGACTCATTCCCATTCCATGCCTATTTATCATCAAAAATGGCCGGGAAAATTAGACTCAACCCACCACTTGCGCCATCTGCATTGGGTGCGAGGTTGTAGACTCTACGATAACCTCACCTCCCGCCGTCCAAGACATGTCCAGATCTAGATACTCTTGCAACAGAGTCTCCCGAGTTCTCTCTGCGCAGTGCTTCTCAACAATCTCAACAACTTGCGCGTCCATGTCCAGAAGATTCTTCACCACTTTGTCCAGCGTGTTCCAGCCGACTACATTCTTGGCAGCTGTGTTCCAAGCACTCGCCGTAGCACAGACGCAATTCATCTCGAGCTCGAGTACTTTTTGGTACAGGTTGACCAGCCTCTCTCTGACTGCGTACTGCTGTTCTCGGAATTGGTGCTCTGCCCCCCATGAATTGGCCCGCAGCAACTCTGCCAGATGCATATACCACGATATGCGACCTACAACGTGCACCAGGCCCTTTCTGAAATCTTTCTGGTTGACTATTGGGTTCAGTAAAAGCTGAATTGGATTTATTAGTACACATATAGGACACATTTTGAATTCCGCCTGATACTCACCGGGGTCAGTGTGCAAAAACCTGCCCAAGCCACCGATGCAGCGTGATATTCTGCCACAACCGAGGCGACTCGGTCTCTCACCGCATCTAGTACCACCTTCGCAGAGTTTTCGGCCTGAGAATTTTTGGAGCTTCTACCCTTCTCAAGCCCGGCTGCAGTTATGGCTGTGAGCAACTCTAATCGCTGATCCGCCGGTTTGCCGTGGAATGACGAGTTGAGGCCGCCCATTTTTAGATGATCTGGCAGCTCTTGTGATATAATATTCTCGTATGCAATCACCAAGCCGGTGCAACTAGGATCATCTCGTAAGGCGTCATATGCGTCGTTCCATAATTCCAAGGCAAGTTGGGCATCTCGCGCACAGTGGCCGTTTTTGCCTCGTTTCTTCGTCGATGAACTGCAGTGTGAATCCGGTGACCTAGATATCTGAGGCGTACGAATGCGAAATGAGGGCGCTCGCGACGAACTGGATGTATAGCCGTCGTCTCTCTGTGGTGTGCTTGGCATACTAACACTATTTCCGCGAAGACGCCCGACTAGCTTCTTGATGGTGCTGGTGTTGCTTAGGTGATCGTGGAGCTTGTCCATGACCATGGCTGAGTATTTCACTTGTCTCGTTGAAGAAGGTATGATGGCTACGTCTGAGTACACGGAGCGTGGGGGTCGTCAATCCTATCTGGAGCTTCGTGTATAGTTGCAGTTGTCAAGGCAGGGTTGCGAGGAGCCAAAGACTACGAGACTATATCTGTCCATTTTGTCTTGTTAACATCCCCGCTTCGATCGCCCTCTTCCTTCCATTCATGATTATATACCATGTCGGCACATTCTCTTTTAGCACCGGGTCGATGGACAAGCGCCCATCAGGCGAAGTCGTCTCTCCACAGCGTTGACGAAAAAAAACGGAGAACAGCCAAACCTCACAGATCACCGAGCTCTTGCCGGCACCGGCGCAATGCTGGCGGGCCACGCTCTAATGAAATCAGTCCTTGGTTCAAAAAGAGGGCATTACCAATTGGCAGCCCCGGGTAGAGGTGTCTTGTTTTCAAACCGAAAAAGCTGCCGGGCATTGGTTGCTTCTCCTCGCAGTTAATCCGTCATTTCGCAGTCATGACCTCTATCCAAACTCAAGTCTTTCTGCAACTTTAACTTGGCAAACCAACACACCGAACGCTTGTCAAAGCACGGACCACACACAACGGTTCTATCAGAGTGTTGTTGGACAGCCATCGGCTTGTCGGCTCCTCTTCAGCTTGAACTTGCCATCACTCCATTTTCGGACACACTGTCGGCCTCTTCGCGCGCCGAAAAGCAGCGGCTTAACAACCTAGATGCTGTCATGAAGGGTGCCGAACGTTCCCCCCATCCCCACAATGTCGTCATACCAGCCAGCAGACATCTAGATCGGGTTTCGCAGACGAAGGTACGGGCTGTTTCTTGGCATATGCAGAAGCCTGCGGCTAGGCAAACGGGTGCCAGCATGTATCCATCGTGTTAAGTACCTAAGGCAAGGTAGCTACAAAACCTAAAGAGGCAATGTACCATTCATCGTTGAAGTTTCCGTCGTCTCTAAACATGAGCGGTGTACGGGGGGGGGGAAGCTGGTACGGGCTGTGATGCGATGGCAGCATTGAGGTGTCTTGTCTGAGCTAACCAACAAGGCTGTGAAGCTGAGCGGGCGATGTGGTGGGCATCGAAGCAGGCTGAACACTCATGGCGTGACCCGGCCTGTGCAGCGCGGAGTAGGTTGAAGCAAGACTTTTCGGCTGGCTTCAAGAGGTCACTGGTATTAGTTAGTATCGGCCCGCGTTATTCAAGATGTGTTGAAATTGGCCAGAGGGATATCTGGACCTTTTGATCCTTGACTGCGCCCCAAACCGCATAATATAGCAATCTCCACAAACAACATGGAACCTTGTCAGTTTCCGACCTCCTTGGGCCCAGTGCGTCCAAACCGACTTGTCCCTCTCTCTTTCTCTCCGTCTGTCCGGTTTGTATCATTGTGAATTTGTATCAATTGGCTCATGTACCATCGCCGTCACTGGCAAAAGTATTAGACGCAAAATGGCTGGCCCATGAAGGCTAGCGAATAATACAGCTACCACACTGCCTTGTCGGTGAAGCCACATGCTTACCTAGGTAGGTATTCGGCCTTGAAAGTGCATAAAATGTAGCAGATTTGCAACCCCCCATCAGGTCCTGTCAATGTCCTGACGGGTGTTTGTAGTCTGTAGCTATTTGGCTGTCAAATACGGAGCACAACCCCACTGGATGAGCAAATCTTGATCCTTGTGATGATCTGACGAAATGATGGATGCGAACTGCCAAGACAAGAACAAAAAGAGGCGGGATGCTTGCCACATGCTCACGCTCACATCTGCGGCGATGGGAGTCTCCTCTCCGAACCCTCCTTCCCGATTGAGACCTGTTTCCTCCGAATCCCCTATCGCAGGAAGGAAGGCGCGCTGGCGCGAATTGGCGTGAGCTGATTTGGCCTGCGCTCTCCTGTGCTCTCCTGGCCCTTCAAATATTACGCCTGTCCACACGCATTGACAAAACCACTTCATCTTGAATGTTGCGCCGTGAGTGCGGCAATCATCCAGCGTTTCCGTCATCCCAAAAGCGCCCTCTTGAATTCCACTGCGCTTGCTCCCTAGGTCCTGTCTGCATATGAATGACGGACAAATGGTGGCTCACTGCCCCTAGGAGTTTCGACTTCTCTTGTGTGCATGCCTCATAGTTTGTACGACTCAGAATTGGTTTCCGCTTTGTTGACCTTGTCTGCGCCGCAAGGAGTTCTGAAAAAAAAAAACATTGACTAACTTCTACAGCCTCTCTGTGCGACGGGGTGAGCGCATCTACCAAACGTCACGCACTCAGACGTAGCGGGCTATTTCTTCAAAAACGTTCCTGATCTGGTTTTATCTGAATTCGGAAACTTTGCAAGATGATATCCGGCCAATATTTGCTGGCCGTGACCCTTTACTTCGTCACCTTGAGTTGGGCTCTCTCGGCGGCCCCTATCATGGCCAACTCGACAGGCATCTCCTGGCACCCTGCTAACCACACGCAATCTACATGCGACCCATCAACATTTTCTGAATCCACAAACACTGATCCCGCAAATTGGAAAGAATGTGCAAGCCTCTACAGCTCCTGGACCTCAGAAAACGGCACCTTCAGGCTCGGCGACTTGGATGCTACCGGATTCACGCCAATTCTGCAGACGACAAACTGTATGCTTGGAGTCAAGCCGGCCGATCCTTGCCTGGGACCTTTCACTATTGGCGACAGGGACATCAAAAAGCTCTTGGAAACGAGTCTCAAGGAGTTTTCTAAGGGTACAGACTTGGGAGTTACCGGCAATGTCAAGTGTGCCACAGCAGTTGGCAGCAAGGGAGATGTAAACTGGCGGATTTCAAAGTCATAGGGTGACAGACGATTATCATGGCCATGTAAGCATTCATTACAAGTGCGAGGGAAGTCGAGGGGTTGTTTAACTAAGGATGGGTCATGAATTGGGCTTTTAGTTTCCAGGAACAAGGGAGTCGGAAATGTGCGAACTTGCATGCACATGTGTTATTGTAAATTCTGGGGCTTTGTTTCTTCCAAGGCAGGTCCTTGGACCACGAATTATTCTCTTCTTCTACGAACCACAGTGACGGGTCAACTTAACGAACCCTAAATGAAACGGTTCCTTTAGGTAGCCCCAAACAACCTTCATTATATACTACTACACTGCAAGGCTCAGAATAATGTTCTTGGTCCAAATTGCTCCTTTCTTTTTTCTTTCTTTTTTTTCGACATGGTAGTTTTAAGATTTAGCCATCTCTTGCGCCGGTCCATCAAACAGCCATGGCTAACAGGCTGTCTTTTTGCCCATGTTTCTTCAAATTGTCTTCAACCGTAATAGTTCTTGATCTACAGCCAGGAGAACTGTGCCGCGAGATCTTTTGATGGAGCCAAGTATGTAAAGGTCCGACCAAAGACGGCAGCAATACAGACTGCCGAGCCTTATCATAGACACACCTCTCTTATGGCGATTAGGTCGACGCCTGAAACTGCCTAGTCATATGATTAACCCTGCCAATTCTTAGGTTTATTCGTCTTTCATTGGGAGTTCCCAGTAGACTTTGCGACGCGTTCCCTCCGCTTTCGTCGTGGTGGCTTTTGTAACTCTCTCCATGCCCGCCATCCTCGCATGTCCAATTTGATCTCTGCCCACAGGATCTTTCTGGTATGTCCTCGCGTTTGTCTGTTTGAGAGCCGATTTCAGTTGGACAGGCTGCTGGCCACACTTGCCATCTTCCCGCGTTTTCTGGTGCTCCCGTCCATGTTGCCCCATGCTTGTCTGATCCTCCTGTCGTGGTCTATTCCACAAATTCCCCTGTAGTAGCTTCTTCCGCAAATTCTCCTCGAGTACCTGTTTTCGCAGATCCTCCTGGCGTCGTTTATTCTGTAAATTCCCCTGGAGGAGTTTCTCCTCCAAGATCTCTTGGAGGCGCCGCTTCTCCAAGGCCTCCTGGAGCTGCTGCTTCCGCAAGGTCTCCTGGAGCCGCTGCTTCTGCAAATTCTCACGGTGGGATTTGTTCTCCAAATAGACGCCTCTCAGCCATTCGCGAAACTTGTCCAGAGTATTGGCATAGTGTTTCAATTCTTTGGCAAACTTGTCTTGTTCACGGGCCAGTGATTCCTTGTTATCAAACTGTTTTCCCTCGATTCTATGCAAGGCGATTTTTAACCTTTTTTCTTCCTGGCTAAACTCTTTCTCGAAGCTGGCCAGGTCCTGGACGAACTTTTCTCTTGACTGGCCTCTTGTCTGGCCTCTTGTCTGTCGAGGTGGAAGTAGCTCTTTGAGATTTTCCCAGAGCTGACGAAATGTGTCGTTCCTTTTAATATCAGCTAGTTGGAGCTGCTTTTTGGAGTTTTCTAGGTTCTGGGGTTCAGATGTGCCCCAGATACGCGGCTGCGCTTTAGCCGGAGGACGCGCATTTATGTGATGATGGCTGACATTATCTTGGTGGTGTTTCTGAAGACAGAACCGGTCATGTCTATTATTTTCAGGAGCCTCCATTTGCTGAGGTTTCTTGAGGCTTTGTAGTTCGAGCTGCTTTTCGGAGTTTGCTAGGTTCCCGAGGTCAGTTGTGCCCCAGATACGCCGTTACGCTTTAACCAGAGGACAGGCATTTATGTGATGATCGCTACCTTTATCTTGCTGGTGTTTTTGACGCCAGAACTGGTCATGTTCATTATTCTCAGAAGCCTCCATTTTCTGAGATTTCTCGAGTCTTTGTTGTTCTCGCAGGCACTCCTTGGAGCGTTCGCACTTTGACGAGACCCGGCTATTGTCGCTCTGGATGTGATCCATGGGCGTTGCTGCTCGGGGCTCAAAATACGCGGCTACAGGAAGGCAGTACTGTGAGCCTTGTAGGCATTCTTCCAGCCTGGAGCGAGCCACAAATTCATCAACTTCACGGCGGCTGGGCTGGGAAAAGGTCCTCCGTCGGATGGAGAGACGGAGCGGTTGCGGCTTGGAGTCTGCCGAGATTACGTCCGGGCGCGATTCATCTTTTGGTTCATGGATCCTGACTGCGTTACTCGATTCATGGAGATCTTGGTAAAACTGTCGTCGGAACGTCACCACCTGCCGAAAAGTCAGTCACCCTGTCTGCGGAAAGTATGCCGATGTCGTTGGTGTTCTGGCTTACAACTTTTGTCAAATATATCCCTGTCCATGAGAAAAATCTGACAATTGCGCCCTCTGGAGATGTACTGGACGTGAAATCGCTGCGGGTTAGATACGGCGCTACATAATCCCAGCTGTATATAAATACGACGGCAAGTGGGATCTTGATGACAACATCCATCATTGCCAAGAGAAGCGTCCGTAAGCGACGTTGGCAAAGAATCTTCAAAATGAAATTGATACAGTCTGTTGAAGGTTATTTGCCGTCTCTTGGCACATGTGCTGTTGTCGAGTTGGTATAGGATTGTGGTCTTGTTTCGACAAGTCTGGACGCAGGAGCCCATGTTGATACGCATACTACCACGTGCCCAACAACTTGTATGCTTTCACAGGGCGAAAACTACGCAGACAGGTTTCAGTGGTGTTCATGATGGGAGAAGAATGGACTTAAAAGCGGATGAGAGTAGATGCACGGGCTCATTGTCACCAATCAACAGCGGACAAACGTCAAAGACGCATACAAAACCTGCACATGTAAAGGCTTTTCATTCATTCATGACAATAATTTGTGAATTTTTTTTTCATGTTTGTGAGGAGTTCAATCAAGTTCACCGTTGTGTACTGGTGTAGGACGAGTAGTGAAACACATGATGATGTTCAAGCGGTTTTGCACAAGTTGAGAACAAAGAGTATGCGAGTGCAGTACGCACAGTACAATTCCCTTTTTATGAGTATGCATGGATTTTACTTGTCCGTGTGCATTAAAACTGGCTCCCTTCATCAAAGCATTCTCCCCTCACTCTTGACGTGCTCTTGAATGGGCAAATCCAGCCCAGAGCGGATGTGATATATGTGCGCACATCAAGTGCCCATGGTTTCAGGTATTTGGCGCATCCCAAAAGTCCAAGACACCAAATAAATGTACTGTTGTACCTGTGAATTTGGCCAGAATACTGTTGCGCATCAAGGACAATTCACTGATATACTGCTTAGTATAATACGGCATCAAGCGTGATAGCCAGGCACCTGATCTGGTCACATACTCTGTCTCCCACTGTGTATTGTGCTTTAGCATATCAAAGCCTCAATCTGGTCGCCGTTTCCTAATGGTCCGATGTCCTTTGCGAACGGCAATGTCAACGCTGGAGATCGCACATGTGACCAGCTCCCGTAGGAAGCAGAGGATTGTTTTACGTAACAATGAAGGAAACTTGAAGCGGACAAAGTCGTCTCGTTAGATCTTTGTCAATGAGCCATCCATTTGGTCATCTAGCCTCGTAGGCTTCAATCAAACAAGCAGCATCACGTAGACAAAAAGGTTCTAGTTGAACAAGTTTGCAAGCTAGCTAGAAGCTGGAACCCCGTCCTCTCTAGTCAACTAGCTCATGAACTTTGAGACAAATCCTTTATTTCGTAGACACGGATTGAGTTAAGAATGAGTTTACAATCAAGTTGATGTTGCTTACGGACTGGGTCAGGGGGGCTTCCACGCATAAAAGGTAGTCGGTCAATAGAACAGGCCGAAGGAAGAAAATGCGACGCTGTAAAGGCTAAACAGCGGTGAGGACAAAACGATGATGAGGCAATATAAAACACTGATGCTCCAAGAAACGTATACATTAGAGACGTTATATCAGCATGCTCATTTAGCCAGGTCATATCCGGTAATTCCACGGCAGTCTGCAATACGATGTAGACATTTGCTTACACGCAGATTGGGCAAAATACCAATGATAAGACAGCAAGGATACAAAAAAAAAGCAATAAAAAATAAATAATTGCCCTTTTTCAGCTTGAGCGGTGAGCCCCCCGCACGCCAGTCTGGCTCTCAGTCAGTCACATAGAGCACCAGACATTTCTTCGCCTCGCCCAGAAGCGAGATTGCCGCGTTAGCTCCCTCATGTGATGGTGATGGGCGTCGCGTTGAAACGTCAACAGGCAATCTTACAGGTCAGCGAGTTGCCCCGATCAAGGCGTTTCTGACTCCTCTGAGACAGTCGGAACGACTCATCATGACACTTGACCAGACACTACTACGTACGGAGTACACGAAGGATCAAGCCGTCCGTGTTTGTAAGCCAGGAAGCACGACCCGCCAAGAGTCAAGACGATGACGACGTTTGCTCTAGATTACGGCCCCCCAGCTGGATGGACAACATGGCGGCGGCTCGATGAGGCAGGGGATTCCCGGCATGGCCCGCGGTGAGTGTGACCAGACCAGCCAGTGGTTGTGGCCGTGGTCGGCAATTGCCTCGGCCAGCCTCTCCGTGTCGGGCTCGTCTTCTGCAGCAGAGGTACATACGGAATGAGTTGAGCTGTCGCTTCCGACAGTTGTCGCCCGCCGCGTGCTTTGCAGCGAATTGCTACTGCTCGGGACGGAGGACTCCGTGTTGTGACCCAAAGCCCTCGCGATTCACGCGTCGATCCCTCTCCGTCCCGGCGGGCTCGTGTATCGGCGAGCAAGAAGCTTGGGAGTAGTAGTAGCACGGAGTAATACCGTCGACCATTTTCACTGATCCGTCGTCAAGTGCTTGCACAAGCCGCTTGCGCCACGGCGGGTGAGGCCACCAGCCCTAAGATCTGCTGGATCTGGCCCCCCCCCCAAGAGCCATGGTTACATTGATGGGGTCAGACGGCGGTCTGGCCCTGCTGGACAAGCGAGGCAGGGGTCTGGTGGTTTTGGGCTGGAGCGGATGTAGGGAGTAGGGCTGGCACGTCTGAGCTTGTCTGGGGCCGATGAGATGAGGCAGGGTGAGGGGATCACGGGGATCACGGAGATGATGCTGGGCCGACTTTTCTTGTGTGTATTTATCCTTTTTATTTTTTTTATTTTTTTTTCCTTCTTTTGTACTAGTACGCCGTGGTCCCTCCATGTTGTTGCAGGAATCCAAACTCTAAAAGTGAGCTGGCATGCCAGACATTTCACGACAGCTTTCATTCCTCTTTGTACCGCGGTTTTCAAAGCCAAGACCCCTGCGCCCAGAATAGCATTTTTGTCTGCGTGGGCACAAAGTGTCTCAGCCCCGTGTCTTGTTGTTTGTTGTTGTTGATGTTGCTGCAAACGGGTCAACTCTGAAAGCCAGCCGTCACGAGCGAGCGAGCGAGCGAGCGACGCACAGTTGACGCCACAATACGGAGACGGAGTAACCAGACCTGTCAATTGCCACAAGGGCACTGGGAGCACAAAGGGTCGAAACTATTGAGCAGCAATAGCTCGGTTGAACTGTGAATATCCACCCGTCCGGCTGTCGGTGTGGATTCACGACCTGGTTGACAGACATATCAGCCCAGCCTCCGCAAGCCAACTGTTTATGCTACGTACTACTGCCAAGAGTCGATTTGCATTTTGGACGGTGCAGACTCAGCATGCTACGTATCGCGGTCTGCGGCACACGGGCCAGATTGCTCCGCGTCGTAAACGGAGGACGGAGTACAATGTCTCGGCTGCCTTTAAGGTTGCGCGGAAGGGTCCGGCGATGCTACCGTTTGCCTCCAGAGGCGCATGTGCTCTGTGCTCCGGAATGTTTTGTTGCCTCGAGTTGTTTCTGCGGCCACGGAATGAGCCGCGTACTATGACCCTGGACCTGGACCATGGTATTGTGTTGTGGTCTGCCGGAGGCGTTTGGGACGCGATCCTCTTTCTCCGCAGATACGGTGCAGGAAATACGACACAATTTACTCGGTATTAATTGACTCGAATGCGTCAATACTAGTACATACATGGTAGTATTAGTAGTACTACTCGGTAAACTAAAACAATGGTCCCCGTCGCTTGTCATGTCTCCTTTTGGTCTAGACACACGCTCCTGTTGCGGTGGAGGGAGACGTGGACCGAGTACATACATGTAGGGAGAAACATGATGGTACATGTATGTACATAAGTACGGACCTCGCAAGTACTTAGATGTATGTACTTTATGTATGTTGGTTCTGCGAAATCATACACATGACACTTCGCCGAGTTGGCCGAGTGAGTGAATGACGCCCATCCGTCGTCCTCGAAATGTGAGAAGCCGGTCGGTTCGTTCATCCCGACGACAACATCTACGTATGCATCGCATCCGGACAAAGCCATGCGCGCGCCCCGCCGGTTTTCTCGCCTTGTGACGTTTCTCCGCAGCATCGCAGCGACACATGCATGCGGCTTGACTGACCCAACACTTTGCTTTTGTTGGCTTCCCGCCCTCGGGCACAAGGGGGGCGGACGAGGCGGCGATGCCACAAACAAAGCCCCCTCTGTTGAGCCTCCAAACGTTGAAAGCCATGGCGTCTGGAGTGCAATCCGGCCGGCACACCGTTCATTGATTGATTGATGTCTGGTCAGTAATATTTCCAAGTCGCGCGCCAAACCGCCACCTCGTCCTTGCCTGCCGGAGTGAGCAGGTCATTCTGCCGCCGTCATCTGGACTACCCAAAGCGCAGGGCCACTTTGCTACAAAGCTGCTTGATGGGTGTAAGCGCTGCAGGGAGAGCCTCTGTCTGCCGCTTGGTTGAGAACGGTTCAATGTTGCCTTGGTTGGTGGTCATCCGGAGCCAAACGCCGGCGAGTTTAGGTTTTTTTTTTTCCCCCAACACACCCTCCTCCCTTGGCTCTCCATACACACAGACAACCGTCGTCAGGGTTCCCCCCGAGCCGAGGAGGAGGCTATTTATGACCGTTTTGCCGACTTGGCCGGCGCCACTGTTGCGCAAGAGCTGAGCTGTGGCTGGCCACATGCCACGAGTGCTTCCGCGTCCCCATGCAACCTGTCGGTGGCCGTGACAAGCAAACACACCCTCGAGCTAGTATTACAGTGAGAGCACCAGACACCTTGCCATGCTGGACCTTTTTTCGTGTCTTTGCTGTCGGCCGTCCGGGTGCCGGACGATGGGACGGTGAGTGTGGTGCGGATACACGAGCGGAACAAGATGTGAGAGGTTTCCAAGCCACGGGCCTAGTTGGAAAAAATAATACACATGTAATGATGATGAATAATAATCATGATAATTACAAGGTCGCTGGCCCACCGGATACGGGAGTGCGTGTTTGCACGTCAAGTCAAGCTTATCCCCCGTGTGTTCCACGAGTGTGTGTGTGTAGTTACCGAGTTCACAAACATGGAATTTTGGCAAAAGAAAAATAAAGCACCTCGGTGATGAAACTGCGAGGCCGCAAGGACGGAATGCATCCTTACCCCGTAC